ATTATGACACCAAAATGAAATTGGTAAATTAAGGTTTACTGCAGCTGATAGAGCAAAATTGGCAGGTAGTTTATTTTATTTGATATAATACTATACTACCATGGTAGTATACCATCTATACTAGTTCCTATTCAAAGGGTATTAAATGATGTCCAAGATTCTGTGGAAGGAACAACATTGAAATGTTTATAGTATGAGTGTTATGGCCCAATTATGGGCCAAATAGTTAGTAAAATGTAATAATAATACAATTTTGTATTTTGATTACTGCACAAGATGATTTTGCAACAAATTTAGGCAAATATGATTTTTGCATTAGGAAATGACTAAATTTGTGTTGATGGGACCCATGGTTTAAACTTTAAACAGCTAGGTACGCTTTTATAACAAAGATATAAAATATTAAATCTAATTATAACATTTGTATTATATTTTTGCTTGAAGTATTCGCAATGAATTGTGTATTATTAAGTTTATTTAACTATTTTAATTTTAATTTAGTAATATATAAAACCATTATAATGAAAATGATGTTATCATTTTATCAATGTTATCACATTTTGATAGCTGCAAAATAAAGGGGACAAAATGTAGGCAATATTTTATACGGACACAAAAAAAATTTTCCTGCGAAAATCCATTCGTCCGTAATAGTTTATTCTTTATTCTTTTTTATTCTTTCTTTATTCTTTATTTCTTTATACTACTAAAACGAAGAGTGATTGGCACTTGTCCGAAAAATGATACGGACCTAAGAAATGATAAGGTCCGAAATTTTAAAAAGCAGTACCAACTGACTAAATCGAAAATTACCAAATCCAACATATCATTAATTTCTCCACTCGAAAATCATGTTATGCTACCGAGAACATTTATAATATAAATCAATTTAAAATTGAACATAATATAATATTTAAAGTATGTTTGTGTTGCTCATAATTTATAGTTGATATAAAATATTACTGTTTTATTTAGTTGTTTTTAACATATTTGTAATTATTTAATTGAATTTCAATTTTAATTACATTACAGAATAAACTGTAAACATTGCTTAAAACTTAGATAATACTCTTTATCATAAATTATTGGCAATTTAAAAGAACTGTGTACGATCTCAGTTTTTAATAGTTAAAATGAAACTAATTTACTTTGTAATACATTTTACTCTGTTAAAATCCTGACTTAAATAGTTATAAAAATGTTTTATTTATATTTTAATAATAATAAATTTAGTTTTTTTAATCATCTTTAGTATTAAAATAAATCATACATAATTTAATGCCTGTTAAACTCTAATGAAAAAATTATACTTCCATATTTTATGATCATTAAGTATTATTGAGTTCAGCATTTTGTACATAAACATTTTATAATATGGAATTCCCTTATTGTTGCCGTATATAATGTAACACCTCTCTACTTAGTATTACAATACAACAGTGATAAAATACGAGGAAAATGTTTGTTAACAAGTAAGGGAATAAATAGATTATTGAATCGTTTAACATTTTAATTATGATGTCTTTTATATTAATGTTCCCTATGAAAGATTTAAGTGTTTTTATTTAAAAGTAATTGTAAATAATAGGGTTAAATAATTGAAATGACGAGAGTCAAACGTCGACTTCACCTTTATTCATCGTCCCCTACGTTGAAAAAGGTTATTGTGGACATTTTATTATTAGGCGGGCGCGTGTCCATTGATGTTTTATTTAATATCATGTGTACGTAATCAAATTAATATCATCCACGCCTGTCAATTTATTATTTATAATATGACGACGTCGAAAAGGAGGAGAAATTACCATTCGTGGCTGGATAACTCAATAATTTTTCTCTACTTTGTATTATATATGCTACACTACATCAAAGGATATATTTTAAATGAACGCAAATTATAATGCGAAAAAAATTGCTGATTATAAAAATGTGGAACCTATGTTATTAAAGTATTATTATTATGGTGGTAAATTAAATAATGTATTTTGTAGAAAAAAAAAAGGGCGTGCATTTATGTTGCGACTGTATTTCTCGAATTAAGTCATAAAGAAATTTAAATTTAAATTAATAAGTTAAATTAATTTAAAATTTGAAACTACGGTCTTTAAAGTAAGTATTTCATACTACTTATACTTCATATTTTATTTTATAATTTAAAATAATTTAATTTAGATGATCTTAAATATAACTGCCGGTATACGATTTATATATATATATATACATATATATACATATATAACATATACATATATAATTGATGAATAGTTTTAATTAATTTATGTTAACGTCAAAGGTATAATTCCTTAAATAAAAATCAATTATAAATTATTTATTATAATTAATAATTTTTTTAGATTCAAAATTAAATAAATAATTTGGACAACTGACCATTTCGAGTTGATAAAAACATCCTAATTGACTTGTAATCTTTCAGCATCTGATTGTTAAACATATCATTATTATTAATTTAACATATTATATATATTTAACTGTACATACTTGATCTATATACATCTCAAACAACGTGATATGAAGACTAACGATTTTTGAACACTATACGAGTATAGACCTATAATAGCCTTTGGCAGGTACGGGTAAGATACTTAAAAAAAAAATCTAGATATTAGAAACATCAATTTTCTCCCTAAAATATAAGATACCAGATATATTTGAAATTTCTAAAAATATACTAAATAGTATCTACATTTTGGCACTTTTTTAAGTACAAAATAAAGTTAAAATATAAGATACTATTAATATTTTTTTAAAATTACTATTAAAGTTGGTTAAATTATTATTATGCATTGTATTTCAATATTGTTTATTTTCAATAAAATTAAAACAGACGAACATTTATTATGGGATGCAGTAAGGTTTGGCTTATTATTATTATTGTGATTATTTTTTTTTGATTAAATTATAAAAATAAAAATAAATATACAAAATACAAATTAAATGAATTTAAATTCATTTTTTACATAATACTTTATTTTAAACATGAAGAATTATTATTTAGAAGTATTCAATTTTCGAACGTTTTATCATATTACCTAGAAAGTATTATCAAATATATGAAGCCAGTTGAAGAAAACATTCTTTTAATTGTAACTGAAAAACACAAACTTGTATTGTAACGAACAAATCATTTAGCCTAATTTACCCTAAATTAGGTCTCTACTTCTTTAAAGCTTATCTCGTGAAACATGTTTTAATATTAATTTAGAGTTTCTATTAGTCAGCTATATTCATTACATAAGGAAAATTTAAAATTTACTTTTATTTTTTCTTAGAAAAAAAATTATTATCCTTTGAATCTTGTATCTTTACGCAAGCAAAAATAAAAAAATACAAAATACACACCCACAAATGATAAAAGATACTGTCCGTCCCTGGTCATTGGTGTAATTTGGAGGACTCTCAAATTTTTTTATCAGATTTGAAAAACTATACAATTTTGTCTATTTGTGGATAAACTACTATTAATATCTATAATTGTATGATTTAGAGTAGTTCTTTAAAAAATTAATCAAAGGTGAAAGAAGGGTCAACATTGGCGGTCGACATTAAACGACGGAGAGGTTTATTGGCTAAATAATTAGTAGGTGCAAGAGGTAAGTAAAATGAAGCACATGATCTTTGGAGTGTAACATTTAAAAATAAATGTTACACTCCAAAAATATGAGTATTCTGGTAAGGAAACGCATCATAAAATTATATGTATGGAATATGACGCTATACAGCTATAAATGCTAGATACTAAAGCACAACAATGAATCCTCGAAAGCTTTTAAATGTGGTGGCGTAAAAGAATGCTGCGAGTGAGTTGGGTAAAACCAACGAAAGTATAATTAATGAAATAAATTAACGCAGAGAATGAACTTAAAACAATCAAAAACGATGGAACATGATTGGTCACATATTGAAGCATGAAAACGAAATAGTTTATAGAATAATTGAAGGGAAAATTTGAGGTAAGAGAGACCAAGGACATCAGAGAACTTTAATTGTCGAGCAAATTATCTCCGATGCTCGACTGTCAAGTTATATGGAACTTTTTCAAGCGCGTATCTGACTGCGAAACCAACCATAAGGTTGAATACAAGAAGAAAAAAGTTGCACGTATATATTAAAAATAGTTAAATATTATTTCAATAAGGGGGCATGACAGTATAAAATAGTATGAAAGGGGACATTTACCTCAAAAGATTGAGAACCTTTGGTCTAAATAATATACACGTTTCACCAGGGTCGTATTTAGGGGGAAGCTACAGGGTGCTGTTGCTCCGGGTGCCTGAATATGAGAGGGTGGCTAATTTTTTATATTTTCAATATTTAATGATCTAATAATATTTTCGAAGTGAAACTTCTTTATAAAATAAAAAGTATATCTCAAAAAAAATATATTTATCGTCAATCACGGCGTCACGACACACACACACACACATACTCGATAACAGTCGATTACTATCTATAGATTCAAAAATTTACAGTCTATCCTTATATTTACATTTCATTTAAAATGTTTTTGTGTACACCAACAACGAATTGTTCTTCAGAAAGATCTTTTTCAACCCGCAGAAATTTGTATTTGGTATAATAAAGCGTTTTTTATTGTTGCCTCTGGTGTCAAATTCCTAAATACGGCCCTGCGTTTCACTATAATAATAATATATGTATATATAATATTCATAAAATTCATCAATTATACAATAAATCAATTAACATGTGATTATTTATTTTAGATACTGATTTTATACCTACTATTGAATAATACATCAATTTATTTTTTATTTTTATTAAAATAAGTTATCTAAATAATATTATGGACTGAAGGGGTTTCAACAAGAATAAGTCATGACTTTACATCATATATTTCTAGTATGAATTTATTTGTTTACACACGAGCTATTCGAAACTTATTATATGCACACATAAAAAAAATGGAAGACAAATTAAAATTAATTAATTTAATTAATTTTATCGAAAATGTGTAACTGAAAATAATTAATATTTGGCCGACATTTTATGGTTTTTAATAATATATTACACAAATACAACTACATCTATAAGAAATAGGTAATAAATTATTCTTATAATATGTTTGAAATATTATAAAAGGTATGAGAATTCTAACTGTTTACTGCAATGTTTAATCTTATTAATTAATAATAATGATACAAAAGAGGGTTCTTATTTTTTAATTAAAAATACCGCTGTTGTTTGTAACTTCGCACACTATTCATCATAATACTATGGGAATGATCACCAACAATATCTATAATTTCATCGTCAGCACCATCAGCATCGTCATCGTCATCTACTTCAGAATTTTCGCTTAGATCATATTGTTGACTCCTTTTTTCGTCATTTTTAAGCAATTTACTTTGTTGAGCTAAAATTTTAGACTCTTGGAGTCCTGTATCGGATGTACCACATATTGAGTTTTTTGACGAAAAGTCTACAGGATAATCTAAACAGGGAAATGTTGAGTTAACTTTTTCAATATCGAAAACTCGTAGGATATTAATTATAATTGTAGTATTGTAAAACTAACCTGTAGCCAACGATTTGTTTGCTGTGCTGTCTGCAGGTTTTTCATTTCCTATAACTACTGTATCGTCGTTAACTTTTCTCAATTGTTTTTTATGTTTCATCCTACGATTTTGAAACCACGTTTTGACCTGCAAATAATTGATTTTATGCTATAAATGATATATAAAATACTTGTGAAAAATGTAGGTAAATTAAAATTATTATTCACTTGTGTTTCTGATAATCTTAGTTCGGTTGCTAATTCAACTCTTTCTGGAGTACTAAGATATCGTTGTACTTCAAAACGTTTTTCTAGACCTGTTAGTTGTTGATCAGAAAACACTGTCCGAGCTTTTCGTCTACGACATAATCTAGAGTTTAGATGTCCGTGTCCATAATCTGATCGAGTACCCCAAATACTTCCAAATGGTACCCCTGAAATATAAATTAATAGGTAATGAACATAAATATGTGAATAATAAAAATTTCAATTTATAATTTAATTAAAATACATTTCATATGTTTTTCCTCTAAGGCATCGTTTCTCAACCTTTTTAGTGTCGCGACCCCCAAAATAGGTATAAAATATAGTCAATCATTTCGCGACCCCCCCCCTCCATCTAGGTTAGGTAAAAATTTAAACAGTAAAAATATCCTATCATTAACCAAACGAAATATAACATTTTAAATACCAATTTATAAATACCATATCTAGTAACTTTAGCTTATCAAGTTTGAAAGTTATGTATTGGTCGTTGGGAATTTCCATTAGTGGAGTTGTGCCCGTTTTATTGATGAGATATCTACATTTAATCGACTGCTTATTATTGTTATTTTTAATATTATTTTTGTGTGTTATGAAACGATTACAGTCGCGCGTCGTTCGTGTTATAAAACTCATGTGATATTGCGTTTATTAAGTTGGTTTTTAGTGAGTCTTTTTAGTTTTGTGTAATTTGAATTAATGATTATGGATAAATATATAACAAAACGTAATGCTCCGTCTACTTCTGATGAACCAGCGAAAAAAAAAATTCAGGCCATATAACAATGAGTATTTGAAATATGGGTTTATTTCACTTGATAATAGCCCGCAATGTGTTTGCTTTCAAGTTCTATCTCAAGAAAGTATGAAACCTTCAAAATTAATTCGACAACTGGAAACAAATCACCCACTTTTAGTAAAAAACCAATTGATTTTTTTGAGCGTAAATCCCTTTTTTTAAAAAATCAACAAACGTGTATTCTTAAATCAAGTCAGAATAACACCGCAATACTTGAAGCATCATATTTAGTAGCACTTAGAGTAGCTAGGGAATCAAAGCCGCACACGATTGCTGAGAACCTCATTCTACCCGCTGCTATTGATATGGTCAATATTATGATAGGTGCAAAAGAAGCAAACAAATTAAAAACTATTCCACTTTCAAATGATACAATATCAAGACGAATTAATGAAATGTCAACTGATGTGCACAATCAAATAGTACAAAATCTAAAATCAAGTGAGTATTTTTCTATTCAGTTTGACGAATCAACAGACGTAACAAACTTGGCACAATTTTTATGTTTTGTTCGCTACGAATGTGACGGGACAATTAAAGAAAATATACTTTTTTGCAAATCAATACCAGGTCATGCTACTGGACAAGGTCTTTTTGAATTATTTATTGAAACAACAAAAAATGAAAATTTGGACTGGAACAAATGTATTTCAGTGTGTTCTGATGGCGCAAGAGCAATAATAGGGAAAATAGTGGTTTAATAGTAAAATTAAAAGAATTAATGCCACATATTGAATGGACACATTGTTTTCTTCACAGGCATGCACTTGCCGCAAAAAAAAAATGCTAGATAATTTAAAAAATGTGTTGTTTGAAGCTGTAAAAATAGTAAATTATATTAAAAATCAACCGCTGCAGTGCAGATTGTTTTCCGCACTATGTGAAGAAATGGGCTCCAACCGCAAGTCACTGCTTTTCTATATCAAAGTTAGGTAGTTCTCACGAGGAAAAGTGTTAACACGGATTTTTGAGTTGCGAAATAAATAATATAATAATAATAATATTAATAATATTTTTTAAAGATCGAAATAACACATTTTTAACTTTTTTCCAAGATAATGAGACATTACTATTTTTGGCTTATTTGAGTGATATATTTTCACATTTGAATGACTTGAATATAAGCTTACAAGGCCGTGAAAAGAATATTCTAATAATGTCAGATAAAGTTAATGCTTTTATCAAAAAACTTGGAATTTGGATCATTCGTCTCAAAAAACGAAATTTTGATGCATTTGATTTAACATCAAATTACATTGAAAAAAAATGTAAACTTAAAAAGTCCTATTCTTGATCATGTTTTTGATACTATGAAAACACATTTAAGAGAATTGAAAATTCAATTACTCGAATATTTCTCGTGTAACGACAATGACTTCTCAAATAGATGGGTTCTTAATCCATTTGATGAAAATATTGTTGCAGTTGCCAAATTACCAGTTGAGACTCACAACCAACTGATAAGAAATTACAGCTACAATTTAGATTTCAAGATTTAAATAAGGTTTGGATTGCCCGGAAAAATGAATATGGAAGTTTGGTAATAGAGGCATTGAAAATTTTGATTCCGTTCACTACTTCTTATTTATGCGAAAAAGGATTCTCATCCATGGTGGCAATAAAAACAAAGTACAGAAATCGTTTGTTATCACTAGAAAATAACTTACTTTTGTGTTTCAGATGTTGAACCGCAAATTAAGCAACTTTTAAATGTAAAACAAATTCAAAGATCACACTAATTATTTATTTAAAATTATTTAAAAAATCTTAAATATTTAAATAAAAAGGTGCATTTTGTAAATCAGCATTTTATTACTTTTGACCTGCGCGACCCCGAATCAAGGTGTTCGCGACCCCTCTGAGGGTCGCGACCCCCTGGTTGAGAAACGCTGCTTTAAGGTATTCTCGTACACCGTTAATAGAAATTGATTTATTACACAAATTAACAACAAATTATTCCGTTAATTGATTTTGCTATTATTTCATCCCAAGTTTAAATACGTGGGTTAAATCTTGAAAGTTTGTATCATAAGTAGTCTATACATAAGCGTAATAATTATTTATAGTGTATGATGTATCATTTTTTAGGCAGTTAACAATATCTGGCAAATTGTTTTTATTTTTGTTCTACAATTTCTAAATTCGTGTTTCAAAAACACTGCTTTAGTTTACATTTATTTTAATCTATTACACTTATAAAAATTGGCCCAAGTTGTAAATATCTGATAAATTATAATTCAATTATATTCACTCAATTATATTTATTATTTCATTTGTTAAATTAGTTTCAAGTTATGTTTTTTTTTTTTATTTTTGGTTATTTACCATATTAATGCTAATAGCTAATAAATTAAACTTCACATAAAATTTAATTTCATTTAATTTCAATAGAATTTCTAAAAAAAACTAATAAGTAGAAAATTTTAGTTTAGTTTTAAATTTTGAGAAATAAGTTTATTCTACAATTGGTATATGGTGTGTAATTTAATATGTTTGAATTCCAAAAAAAATTTAAAATAGAAAAAATATTTTAAAAGTTTTATTTTACCTCAGTTTTGTCATAATTGATTATTGATGGTGCCGCTATTCTAAATATTGCAAGACACTTATATTTTATAACAAATTTGGTTCAGAACTTGAAATTATTTTACTCATAGTATTTCACAACATCTTAATATTTATAGTTTGGGATTTTGATTGATTATGTATTCTGTAGACAAATACTACAATAATACAGTATGGTACATAATAATTAATATTTAAAAAAGTATTTTAATGATATTGAAATGTAACGAGTCTTCTCCATCCAAATTCTTCATATATTTTTAAAATACAATTCATAAAAAATATCTACATCGAATTCTTCTCATTCAATTAAGGGGAACAATTTTAATTACAAACTCGTGTATAATGCCTGTATATTTAATTTTAAATATATCAACAATATGTTTTATTTTTATGTACTACTTTTTCCAATCATCTTTTTGAACATTTAGCAGCATTAAGGTAAATTATATACCTACTATTCAAGAATTTTAAGCTGTATGTGAAATAATTTTTAACTTAATCAGTTTGATTTTACAAACACTTATGTAAGTAATAATATTTAATTAATTTTATTGTGAATAAACTATAGTGTACATTTTTACAAATAACAAAATGGAATTTATAAATGTTTTGAAACTATTGCTTATTAAGGATTAATATAAAATTGTATAAAAACCATTTAGTATTTAGTTAATATTTACATCATGTTGAATAGTGTATAGTAGCATAAATCTTTGATAACTGAGTACTTAAATTCGAATGTTTATGAATTTTCTTTAAATATCTTAGACAATAAATTACTAGATAAGAATATTTTTTAGTAAAGATAATACTTCTACAAAACTATTTAATTTTTTTTTTATAATTTTATTCATTTTTTTGTAATTAAAAATATTATTTTAAATTATTGAAAACTAATTGAGGGAAAAATTCCGCATAGTCAGTTGTTTTATTTAAAATACAAATTGCAACTGAGACTATCAACATTTTTATAAATATTGCCCAAGGCTTTTAAACTTGAATCAATTTCAAAATAATAAAAATAATATAACATAAGTGGCTTATGGGAATTTCGTTATATTGAACTAATCAAGATGACTGACGACTAAGTAAGAGCCATTGAATTCTGAGGAATATTTTCTATTCGCATTCAGCATTCGATTGAAACAAATAAATAATAAAATCATAATAAGTATTAGAATGATTATAAAATTTACCTTGAGGAGTAATGAAAAATGGTTCTGCAATAGAATTTTTGTGCATGTAATGTGCTGGATATGATAAATATGCAGAAGCTACTGCTGATGGTAACATTGGAAAACATTCTGGACTTTGTGGCAGTTGATTTCGACTTCTTTCGTGACTGGTCACCTGGAAGCATATTTTCAATATTATTTAAATTTACGCTTTTCTTCTTAATTTTTAAGTATATTATATAGTATTAATAGGAGTGCGTGAACTCCAGTCTCTACTGGGAAACACGGGATCGGTTTTCAGATTTTTCATGAAATCCACATATACTTATGAAAGCGGTAATTTTCTATCCCTATCTATAACACATATTACATAGGGGTCTAGACATTTTTTATTTCCAACGATCTACGGATGCTATAGAGAATTTTAAAACTGATTGAAATCATTATTAAATCTGCTTGAGAACGGTAATTTAATTTTATCTTGAGTTTTATGAAAGTTACTTACCTATATATATTTTGAAATCGATTTAATTGAGTGGTTAATGAGAGTTATCGAGAAAATAAAAAATAAAACGCTCGTTTTCAAATATAATTAATTATGAATTCAAATAGGTTTTTAAATCCATATTGCACGTTAATATATCGATCGGCATGTTTGAAATAGAAAACGTCTGAGGTCTTATGTATAATAGACGAAAAAAGACAGAAAATTATTGTGACTAATACCTTTAACTATCAAAATTAAAACTGTGTTAGTTGCTGTTAAGTATGTTTTTTATCGTATAAAACATTACCAAGATATCACAGTGGGTAACTAACAAATATAGTTGGTTGATTGAATATATTAAAATTATTAGTACTCGTAGTTAACCACATACGGGTACAAGCATAGGCATAATTTCAGTTTTTAACTTATAGAAGCTTTACATATTTAAATAAAACGAACCTGTGTGACTCGACCTCTTATACCCCCTGTTCAAATATCAATATCAAATTTCTTTTACCCACTTTTTGACATTAGTATATTATAATACATTTATTGCTAAAATGAAAAATATTTTTAGTAAAACAAGTAGCTATATTTTGATACTTATATGTAATATATAAATATATTATATTATAATTATAAACGTCAATTTTAAATTGCATATTTATCTAAAATTAATTAACTGTACAATTAATTCGATAAAACCCGTTCAATATAAATTAATGATAAATGGGTGACTCTACATTAACTTATAGAAGTTTAAATCCAATTTTTAATCTTCCTCATTGCTGACAATAACATTTCGCATGTCGCAAATTTTATCAGAATTGTTAACGATAGTGAGAACAACTTGTACAAATTAAGATAAAGCTCACCATCTATGATTAACTTTATATTTTTTAAAGCAGCGGTTCTCAAACTGTGGTACGCGTGTCACTAATTGTACTCGAAAGGCCGTATAGTGGTATAACGAAAATTAATGATTTAATATTTAACACATATATTAATTTAAAAACACTAATAAATTTGTAACAATAAATAAATACTAATTTTATTTTAGTATTTTACTGCCTTTTAATTTAAAATAAATATATTTCACCATGTGAAGTTTGTATGGTTCTATCTTTAATAATTAATTGTACGTGACTGATTGATAATATACTCATGTTGTACGTGAAAAAAAATTTTGAGAACCACTGTTTTAAAGTAAAGTAGGGTTTCTACGGGATAAACAGATTTTCGCCACAAAAATTTATAATTGAAGGGTATTTGCATTCACATTTAGTGAACTCTAAGAATTAAATCATAAAAATTGACAACCTTATTAATATAACACAGTTTCTTACACGACAATTCTAACGTGTGCCACTTGATTGAGTCAAACATTTTTTCTTATACCAAATTTTACTTAAATCTCAGTGAATCTTTCACTATTAGCGAAGTGTAAACACACAATATCTCAAGACAAATACTATTCTAGTTTCCTAAAAAAAAAATCTTTTTTTTTTTACTTACAATTATTTTTAAAATAATTTTTATTAGTTATTACTTAATATAACCATTTATTTTATTTATTTGAAAAAACTGATCATAGCAGTAGCCAAAAGGAGGAGCTAAGCCCCTCCAAGTCTCCCCAAATAGTGTCTATGCATACAAGATACGTGAATGTATTTTTATCCACTATAATTTTATATTATACTCACCAATATATATTATAAAAAGTTATTGACCACATTTTGTAGTATGATAAACTATGCTGTATAGCCACAACAGGTACTGTTTATTGCGATATAATTTTTACAATTTTAATGTATTTATTTTTGAGACTATGAATATGGTACATATGTATTATATCGATAGGTCATATCTAGTATATTTAATATTATTATACTGTATCCAATAACATGTAATGCAATAATATCAATATAAAATAAATACATGTAGGTAATACATGAATAAATAACGTAATTATTATCATTGTTAATATGGATAAAAGCACATTATTGTTTTGCATCAGTATAATGCGGTCAAAAATATGGATTTTTATACGTTTTAATCAGCCAACACTAATTTTTAATTACCATTTTAACTCGAAAAGGTTTTATCGGACAATAGTTATATTAGGAAATAACTAATCAATTAAAATTGAATTTTGATACTTTCAAATATTGTACATGAGTTTATAGGTCAAATTATAATAAAAACCAGTAAAATTAGCTTCTAAAAATATAGTTTATGCACACCTACGGATGGGTGCAAATTTAATGCATTAAATTTTTATTATATTATGATAAAAACACATTTGATACATAAATATTTTTAATTAGATTATTAAAATTAAATTCTTAAATTGATTTAACCAAACTTATGAATCATATGTCATGATAATAACCATCAATTAATAAAATATATTGAGAAAGGACTTAAAATTTTGTAGAAACTGTAGATTATATGTGTATGGTTTTGGCTAATAATCCACAAAAACTTCATTCTATGTTTTGAACTCGACGCAAAATAATAATTCCTGCACCGTAAAGCCTTAAATATTAGCTGCAGGTCTGGTAAAGTGCACTTTAAATTTTGTTTTTAATATTATTAATATTACTTATAAATTATAACATACATAAATACGATAATTTATTTATATTATACATAGATTTGAAAACAATCATATAATTGTAGAATATATTCATTGTATAGACCTACGTCTTTATTGTATACTAGGTTAATAAGAGTTATTTATTATTCATGATATTATGAAATGTTTATTCAATAAGGCCATTAAACAAGATTTATGGTAAATGTGAATAATTGGTAAGCAACTTTTAAGTCAACAGTTCGGCGCAAACTTTTTTTTATTTAATTTATTATAAGACTTAACTTCTTATAGTTATTGGTGTTCGAATGCACTCAGTTAAATATATTTTTTTAAATTAATGATTAAATTATAAATGTAGTCTTGAATTTTTGCCAATTTTCTTGTTTAATTTTGAATCTAAAAGAGTTAAAATCTACTGTAATTTTTATAAAGCTATTATTATTTTTTTAAATTTTTTAATTTTATTGTTATACTTAATATATATTATTCATTATAACTAGGATTGCCATTCCTCATGATTTTTAGGGCGTTCAAATTTATTTATTATTTTAAAAATATTTGTATATAGTAAATAAGAAATATTGATTATAATATGTTCAAGTATAGGTTTTAAACATAAAGTAAAATATACTTAATACATTTTGTTCATTTATACAGAACGCAGGTAAATGATTCGTAAATATAAAATAAAAAAATTTAAATAAATGTCCAAATGAAAGCGTTTATTATTTCATAGAACGTGAACGTGTTCATTTTTCAAAAACTGAACATGAACGTGAGCGAGTTCAACTTCTATGTTACCGTTCCGAAAATTGATAATACATTAAGTTTAGGCTTGCCATTCGTCTTGGTTTGATCGGGACAGTCTCGGTTTTAAAAGCATATCCCGAAATCCCGGCCAATCATTCAGTTTTTCCCGGTTAATAGAATCTGAGATAAAATGACATTTTATATTGTATTATTTAATAATAAAATATAAAACAATATTCTACATTACATCATTATATTATGATTATCTAATCGGTATGGTTATATACAATATTTTATTTTTGTTTCCAAATTAACGTTCTATCAAAAAAAAAAAAAAAAATAAATAATTAAATAAATAAATAAATAAGTGCTATTCAATATGATATCCCGGTTTGGGGATTTTAAAATCTAGCAACCCTAATTATAACGCATTTATAATTACTAAATTAAAATAATAATTTGTATTTTATATTTTAAAGTTTTATTATATGATTAAAATATTACCTAATCGACCTATTCTGGAGCTAGATTAGGTTCCAATAGGCTTCATTGGCGTAGTTTGGCGTTATTGTATTACTTTAAAAATCAGATTTTAACTTAAATTTTAAAGTGCGAAATTTCAATTAAATATTTATTACTTTAAGTTATAACCGCATAAAATTTCATTTAATATTGTAAATATTAATGATTTTGATTTTATTGTACGAATTTCAAATTTTTACAAAGATGAGTTTAATTTATTATTTGTATAAACCTGTTTACAAATATTTTTATAGCGTATTAGTCTTAAGTTATTAAGGAGTTCTATTTTGGGAAAAACTGTATGAAACTTAAAATTACCGCTTAAGTATACAACAGGCAATAATTTAAACACTAGTAAATCGGTTCTGTTTTATCAATTATTTTTTGAATTAAATATTTTATTTATTTTTCCTTTTGTTTAAAATAAAACACTATCTTTCTCTAATAAAAAACAAAAATAGTACTCAATATAACTATAGCTATAACTTAATATAACTTATAACTCGGTAAAGTATTTATTAATTGTTTTTTTTTTTTTTTTAAATAAAATTAAACTATTTATTAGTTATTTTAATCATAGAATATTAATGATATTTTTATACTTTATTGAATATTGACTAAAGGTATCGATAATAGAAAATGTATCTTAAAAATAAAGTAAATTTCACGAATTTATCTAAATTTAATATAATATATAATATAAATATAATATAATATAATAATATATATAAATAGTACCTACATTTAAGTATTTCAATTTTCTGAGTTGCTGAAATAAAAGTGTAGTACGGTGTAAAATAATAAATTCAATTAAATGTTAAATGTTTGATGTAGTACAAATTTTGTTAGAAATATGAATCATTGAAGTCTCGATTTATAAATATATCTTAAATATATATTTATGAAATAAATGTTGAGTTTTAAGATACCTATGTAATTTATTATGTATTTGATATATTGATGTGCATAAATAATTTTTTGCAAATGTTTAAATAATATACCTCTGGATTTGGCCTATTGTTCTTTGATCTGAATAATATATCTTCAATTAAAAATGATGTTGAATGTCCTGGAGATAATTTTCGTTGGTTTTCTAGCATTTTTCTATGTTAAATTTATTTTAACTATATAATAGTAACGACGATGAGATACTTAAATACTCGACGGAGTATGATTCACGATTTACTACATCAAAACCAGTAAATGCGCATGCATTATATGTAACTTAGTCACCCCTAAAGACCATCCCTTCGACGCGTTTCATTGGCTGCATTGATCGGTGCTAGTCGTTTCGCATTGGCTTGGTGGTGGCCATACTGGAACCCTTCATCCTGGTGGTTTCAGTGGGAAAACAGAGATTTAAGTGTTATATCACTAAACAAGTTGGGCTTGTCAGCAATTAGGATGGTAAACGGGTGTGCTGTTTCTGCGAGAACATAAAGTACAAAAGGCTCTATGTCGTTATGAGATTCTCAGGAAAAATTAATAAAGCTGAGATGTAAAGAGAAATATACGGGTTTTTATTTATTTCAGTTTACGGTATTCACCATACAAAGTATTTATAATAATATAATATCTAAACCCTTAAATTGTTTTGTTTTATGAAAAGCGAATAATGAAAATATTTTTAATTTATACTACTATGCATTTTATAATTTAATAATATTTTATTGAAGAGTAAAGTTTGATATTTTTATTGCGCGCGATTGGTTCTTAACAGTAATATTAAGTCACAAATGTAATTTACTTTTTGTGAACTGTTAACATCAATTAATTTTGTTCTATGACCTTTTTTTACTAATTAATTGTATTAAATTACCCATGAGTAAAGAAAACGTCTTAAGCATTGTGGAATTATTATGCGTATTATAATTCGCTATATTTTATCTATATATATATATATATATATATATATATATACATATAATAGAAAAATACTTTATGTATATAATAAAATATATTAAAATAAATAATAAATATATTTCTAACTAATTATTTAAAGACATTTTAGTTTTTTTTTTAAATATTTGTTGATTTATTATTATTATTCGAATACAATTATTAACCATGGTTTTATAATACTAGCAATTAAAATAATTTGTGGTTTTTTTCATTCATTAGAATAATTGAAATTCTTATTTTCATATTATGCTTTTGATCTTCAATAAATTAGGTATATTAAGAAATTAATTACATAATACAGACATAATTACTTCTATGGAAAATATTGATTTATGTATTATTTTTGATTATAATGTATTCGTTTTTATGTTTATTATTTTATTCTAGTTTAAATATAAAAAAAACCTAGCAACTCTATATTATATCTACTAAGTATATTTTTGCGAAAAAAATTTGCAGTTTTAAAATAAGTTCGTGTATAAATTAAATTAATATTTTTATTAAAAATACCACAATTTAATAAAATATGGCTCATCATTGTATCCACAATTATAATATAAAAATTGCCAGTCAAATTATTTAAAATACTTGTATATTAATAATTATGGTCTTTTTTTTTTTAGTAAAAACATAATTATTACGATCTTCTATGCAATAAGTAATTTTAATAAAAATATAAATATTATATGAATCAAGAACCAGGTTTAAGATGGTATGATAGTACACCTATTAGTTTAAAATATTTAGACATTTACAGAAGTGTCTGGGCTTCGTAATTTGTATATATTTTGAGTTAACTTAATATTTGAGTCATTATTAAGGGTTATTTTGAAGAGTGAGAGAAGAAAGACGTTTAATTAGTGATCAATATTCTGTTGTAAGGTTTAGGTTTAGGTACTTAATGGCTGAAATACTTGAAATTGGTTCCAAGGTTATTTAAATGTTCCTAAAATATTTTAAAAGTAATTATTAACACATATTTTTATATGAACTCGTATAATTTAAGATTATTCTTTATAATATAATAGTATGTTTTTTCGGAATTAAAGTTTTAATGTTATAATTTATATTTGGCAACGAAATCATATCATTGTATCACTAAATCACAAATATTTATCATTTCATGATGTTATATATTTAGTGAAACAATTTTCAGTAGAAATTATGTCATAATAAAGAATAATATTTTATTATTTTTAAAATGTTGATAAAAAACAGACAAATATTTAAATAAACTATCACGAATTGATTATGTATTGTATATTTTTTAGTATAAATAATTAATTTACCAATGCTTCTATAAATATTTTTAAAAGACGTTCTCAACTTCATTATACAAACTCAAGAATTATAAATATGTTTGTAGTAATAAACCTTTAACAGTATTATTTTAAATTCTGTTTCATCATCAAATTGTTAAGTTACCTTTATTAATATTTAAATTGATTAATATTTTTATAATTTAAATTCAATAATTCTTTATAAATCATAATTTTTGCAGTGTAAAATGTATTGGTTATAAAAAATTTATTTATCGGTTTATTATGATATTATTTCTTTTCAAGTTACACGCTTTTGTTGTTTGTTAGATCGTAAAATATTTTTTATTCAAATTCATAATACCACCGTATGAATATGTAGTCTATTATTCTAAGATTGTTGCAGTTTTCTATTAAGTTTAAAATTGTAATTTTAAATTTGAAGTCCTTGCCACGGGCTAGAAGAAAAAGGAAAATTATCATGGCCAAGGATTTTTTATTTTATTTATTTTATTTTATTGATATAAACGTCTGTGAGGCTCAAGTACAGTTTGGTAATTTACAATACAAATTAATTATTTAACAGAAATGGTAGCGTAGATACAAGATACATATAAATTTTTAATAGTAGTATTAATAGTAGGTATATAACAATAATAATATTACATTAATATAAAGGACAATAGTAAACAAATATCGAAAACATTTTAGGAGACTTTGCTTAATGGCTGAAAATCTAGTGAATGAAACAAATCAAAATTGTTCAACTCATTGCACTCTCGAGCAATACGATCAAGGGGATTATTATAGCCATATGAAGTACGGTGGAATGGGATTGAAAATGTGGGACGATGTCGCGAGTTATATTTGGGAACATTAAAATTTAAAGAATTCAATAAATCCGGACAGGATATAACTCCATTTATTAATTTAATCATAAAGCGAATATCTATAGATTTACGTCTAGTAGCAAGGGATTCTAAGTTAATACTGGCTTGAATTGACGATAGCGACATAGCAACTGATGGATTTAAGTGACCATTTAATTTCCTCTTATATCCAACAATTTACAGGCATCAGGGCCACCCCAAGGTTTTTCGTGGCCATAGGCAAATTTATTTGGGAATCCTTTGACCATAATAATAAGATATGATAAACAAAATACTCACTGAGAATAACAAAATTCTTGCAAACGTATTTTTCCAAATCTTAACCAATCAAACACATTTAAATTCATGTATTGCATTACTTACTCATATAAAATAATTTAATATTATTCATATTATTTATAATTTAATCGCTCAATGTAATCAGACAAGTTGCTACACGCTCATACGCGCACGACTTTAATCGCCGACACGCAGCGTGTAAAGTTGCTCAGTGTAATCAAGGCTTTATTATTAATTATTATACATCAAGACTTTAAGGGATCCCCTAAAAAATATTCCAACAATGGGGTCTGGGGCAAAATGGTCCCGTTGCCCCCTCCTTTCTCTGAAGAGTCGAGGCATACTTACCAAAACGATTTTGAAGATTCATTCAAATAATTCTATTTTACTTAATTTATCGTAATTCAGGTATTAGTTTAATAAAAAAAATTAAACCTTTATTGTAGGTACTTTCATATAATCTCCTTAGATCCGTTTAGCTTATTCAAAATAATTATTTACCAATCGTCTAAGAATGTTCAATTATTTCTTTGTTTAGATATAATTTGTTTAACTAAAAGTCAGTAAAAAATTGTATTTGAAATATTTAATTTACTTCGTATCTGATTTGAAGCAAACTAAATTTTAATAAAACTTATAGAAATGCTCTCAAATAAAATATTTTTGTGTTAGTATATTAACCAACAATATATAACACTCATATTACATTAACTTAAAATTTAGCTGATCCAATCGCTAAGGAACACATTGTGTAACGTGTGAAAAATAAAAAGTAAAACCACTCTATTTTTTATTCTTTTCTACTCTAATTAAATTTTAATAAAAACATGCCATTGTAAACATCATTTCCATCAAGAACTTTAGACAAACTATTCGTGCTTTATCTGTATAACATAACAATTTAACCAAGTCTTATTACTACGCAGGGTTATAATAGAATCCGTGATGGTTGTTCCGATCCATTATCTTTGTTGAGATTATCAGCATCAACACCTATTAAAAAAATTATTATTAAAATGTGACTGTAACGACTATTCTAAAGTTCCAAATGAAAAATCTGATAGAATTCTTTACTTTATTCAATTATAATATACTAATTATCGTTTGATTAATTTTAGGATTTATTTTTGTTGTACGTCTTATTTATAAGTATCAATTTTTTTAGGTTTTAAAACATGTTTCACGTCAGTTAGTGTATGATATATGTGTATATATCAAATTAAATACCTACAACTGTTGTATATTATACTTCACTACATATTTATATAGTTAATTTGTTTAAGTAGTTCAGGTAGGTATGTTGTATGCCTACTTAAATACTCAATGGACTCATTGTTAAATAAATATCATATTACTCTAAAATATTATAACATCTTTACCTGAATTTTAAAAAAATTTTCTTTTAATTATAAAATAATAATATAATATTATTAATTAATTGTGTATTTTTAAAATGTAGTTTATTTTAGATTGAGACTAGGGGGCCCCCAAATGTATGTAAGCCTTGGGACCCGTGTGCGCGGTACACTCTGCACACCCGGTTTTTGTGGCATTACATAGATTGATCAAATACAACTATAATAGTAGTCTAATCCATGGTTTATTTTATTATATGACTAAAATTATTTATTTTAATTTTAATTATTGTATTTTCTTTTTTATGATAATATATAGTAATGGATTTTTGAATAACATAAGCAATATAAATCTGTTTTCTGTTTTCGTTCTAAATAAATAAATGGCATTTTTAAGGAATGAATACTAACCGATTAGTATTTGATGTTGCTCGTTTTTTGGTTTGAATTAGTTGCTTAGTAACACTATAATACGCAATACGACAGCCG